GTTTGGATTAATTATTTTTGAAAATATTTTTAAAAAAATTTTACTATAACAATATATATGAAAAATTTTACTGTAAAAATTTGTTAAAATATTATATGAATGAAATGTTTTTTGAATTATTATGTATTACTGTAGCATTGCACCTGAAAAACATATTTTTGAAAAAATGATCAATCCAAATAGTTTCATACCGAAGATTGTCTTTCATTAAAAAAAATAAGGGTCTATTTAATGAGTGTATATATTTTTTTGGGAAAGGATAGAAGATCTAATAAGTGTGCTCGACTACTCATTTAGGTGTCAGATTTTTGAAGATTTCAAATTAATTAAGTGTATATAAATAATGAAAGTTAATAATTATTAATGTGCATATAATTGGAGTGAAGTTTAAATGCATAACTTACTAAATGGACTATTTGTCGGACCAGTTAAAAAAGAATTCGAAAAATAAATGCTAGAAATCGATGAACGTGAAGACAGGACTGCCGTGAATCGATTGATTTATTATAAATAACCCATATATAGACTAGTACTACTAATTTATTAGGAATATAATAGTAGTGTTGCAGTGCTACTTTCACTCACTCCGGGGCTTTATTTGGGGGTGTTTTTGGTGTCTGCGCGGGCGGCGGGCGGGCGGAGTAGGAGGAGTCGAATGGAATGCTAATGTCGTACGTACGACTGTGCTAAGTTTGGTAACAAAAAATAAATTCGCGTAATTACTAAAATAAAAGAAGAGGAGAATTCCCGCCGTGTAAACAAAGAAGTCACATCCTCCACTCCAGTGCTGCACCCGCTCGCTCACTCACACTTGAATTTTCAAGTTCTTGTCGTTCTTTCCTTCAAAGTCTCATCTGGTCCGTCCTCATCTCTGTTTCAACTCAAATTTCTTTTCTTATTTATCATTAGCTTTTTTATCCTTCTTTGCCTCCTATTTGATCAAAATTTTGAAGGAAGCCTCTGAATTCAGTCGAATCCAGCTATAAGAGAAGATCGATACTTGATCGGTCAATTCGAGTTTGGTGATGAAGAACAGTAGGGAGGTAAAACTGTAGGGAGCAGCGGCGGAGGAACTTGCGGAGCCTAGGGCTACCTTTACTTCCTCTTGTGCCTTTTTTCTTCCTTGCGGCTTCTTCGGTTCTACTCTTTTCTCTCAACCCGGTTCTCTCTCTTTATTTGCTTAAAATTATAGTTATAGTTTTTTTTTTTTTTTGCTGTTAGTGATGATATATGGTATACGTGATGCGTCTCTCTCTTTCTATGGTCGATTTGGTAGTGGCGATTGATTGACGAATTTATTGCAGGATGAGTGGAGTGCACAGTCCTGGTTAGGCCAAGGGTGCTGGAGGCGATGGGTGACCAATTGGAGGAGGAAAACAGAGGCTTCGATCCATTGCCCCATGGCCACTCTGGCGAGGGCTCTGTAACTTCCATTCCCTTTCAGGTACCCAAAAATCCGCTGCATCTTCTTATATCCTCCGTATCTTGTGTTTTTGCAAGTTCTGTTTGCCAAAAATGATCTTACGGAGAGACGGAGAGGGAGGTAGTAAAAATTTGTATTTCATTTCTTCCATTGATTGAAACAGAGAATTTTTAATTGGTCTGATATAGGTTTCTTATGCAAATAATTCACACCATGAACTTCTCCTTGATGGATTGTTGAAGCCCAGCAATGACAAGTCTAGGATTGCATCTGTTTAATTTTGACCTTTTTACTTCTATACCTGTAAATGAGGAGTTGATCCTTTACTTCGACAGATCAATCTTGTCTTCAATTTTGTACCTGGCTCAGCGATTGGAGCCCTTTTTTGTTTTTATTATATTTATTATTAAAATTTTCATGCTAGGTGTTAAGCTGGAATCCACGAGCATTGTACTTCCCCAACTTTGCAACTGCAGAACAATGTCAACTATAGTTACTAGGGCAAAGGCTGTCTCCAGCCATCTACCTTAGCTCTTCGTGATGGAGAAACTGAAGAAAGTACCAAGGGAATCAGGACAAGGTAAATAGTAAGTTTGTTAAAATGCAAATTCACTGATAAATTTGATCTCCATGCTAGCTTTTCCTTTCTCCTTTTCAGTATCATTTATGAGTTTGAAAAGTAGTGAACTTTGTTGTCTTCTCTTAGGCAACAGCGGGCAAATATACGGAAACTGATAACATCTTGTGGTTTTTTGTGAATTAGTTCTGGAATGTTTTTAAGTGCATCTGAAGACAAAACAGGGACTTTGGCCCTCATTGAGGAAAAAATCGCTAAGGTGACAATGATCCCAAGGAGTCATGGAGAGGTAATTTTAACTTGAGATGTTTCCTTCTTTCTCTACCCCCTCCCCTAAGCCATGTGCAAGCAGTTTTGACATTTGAGCCCAGTAAATGATTTTTTAAAAATCAAATCTGTAGTTTTTATCAGCCTTACAGAGGTCTTATTCCGTTTTATGGCAGACAATTGCCAAAGTGTTTAGATCTTTGAAATGCAATTCAAAGACGTGCATTTAGATCTTTGAAAGCCAAAAGTGTTTTTGGCTATATTCAAATCTTTAAATGACTAAGCATATGATTTGACCCATTTTCAGTCTCAATATTTTCTTGCTTAATGTTGTCTGATTATCTTCTCTGTTGAATTAGTTGACCTTTGATTTCAGGTCAATTTAAAACTGTGTGAGTAATGCAAGGATGTAAAAATGTTTCAGGCATTTAATGTCTTGCGGTACGGATAGGTCAAAGATACCATTCTCATTATGATGCATTCAATCTGCTGAATATGGTCCACAGAAGAGCCAAAGGGTACGAAAACAATATATTTTCAATCAATCTTCTTTCCAGTTTGAACTCTGTTTCTCATGCAAGCAGAATTTTAATTATTATTGAGGCCTCGGCAAGTGGGCATTTTGGACTGGGAGTAGCTCGAGAGAATAATATGTTTGCCTCCTAAATCCTGCTGCATCAGCACTCCCATGCCACCCACACCCCAGAGAAAAGACCAACCCTTTGACTTCTGAATCAAAGCAAAATAGATACAAACTGCAATTAAATTAGTTCAGTTTGGTGCAACTCTAATAATCTTGTGCATAACTATGCAGTATGAAGTTGCAGAACCATCGAGAGAATATTTTACAATGCATAGTCCGTCTCCGTCTAATCAAACTCTATTTTATAATTTATGGAACACATGCCTGCAGCTATTTTCCAGTTTCCACCTGATGTCCTATAGAATTGCTTCCTTTGTCAGGACTGTTGCTTTCTTCACCTTTCTGTGTCTCCACATTAAATAAAAATTGCTTAGAGAGTTCTTCATCTCTATGTTCTACTTGCTCTTTCAATCCTTTTGCGAATTCTTGATCAGGCTCTTAATGGTATATCCCTTATTTAATTTTCTCAGGTTGCTTCTTTTTTGCTGTATTTATCTGATGTTGAGGAAGGTGGGGAAACCATGTTCCCTTTTGAGGTAAGTTCAAGCCCACGGTGATTTCCTTCTCTTGCCTGCTTCTTTCCTTGTATCTCAGTCTGCAGTATATGAATGCTTTAATTTGCAGAATGGGGTGAACATGGATGCTAGTTATGATTATCGAAACTGCATAGGTTTGAAAGTGAAACCACACCGAGGGGATGGACTGCTGTTTTACTCACTTTTCCCAAATGGTACAATTGATCCTGTAAGTTCTTCTGGATGTCACTAGCTTACCTAAATTGCTAATTTTTTCACGGGTGGGGATAGTTGAGTTTGAGTCTTTCCTTCAAATCCATTGTGCAATGATGTGAAAATTGGTTTTTTGACTGGAAACGATCAAACTAGTATAATTAAACATTCAATGGAGTCTATTTACTTTATTTCCTTTATCATGACAAAACAGATTTTGTCTGTACGTTTTTACAATGAACATTATTGTTAAGCGATGGCAACTACCTGGAAACAAGGGAAAACGCATATGGATATATGCATTTGCTGCAATGCTCCAAACTAGTACTATCTACCTGGTGCCTAAGACCCAATGGGTTCTTGTATTTAGAGAAATGCTGTTTAAAGCATACAAAATCTGTGTTTTTAAATCTTTAGCAGAAGAAAATAGTAATTGTTTTAGATTACTATATATGCTTATGGAGCGCGTTAGCGCATTAGCGACATAGTAGATGAAATAAATAAACAGGTGTATCTGGAAAACAGGAGACTACTCTTTGATCCATAAATCCTGTTTAAAGCTGCGTTAAAAAGGCAGCTAGTAGCTTGCGGCACCATGAGTCCCTTGTATTATCAAAAATGTGATGTTGCACCACAATATAAAAGTTGATGTCTTCAATAAAATGGCCGCTTGTTTCCCTCATTCCGGCTTCCATTCAGTTGCATATCATGCTCATAAGAGACAGATAGTTCTTGTTCTCATATTTATTTGTTTCATGAGTTGTAATTTGTATTTTGTCTCCCCATTTTCCCAGGCCTCACTTCATGGGAGCTGTCCCGTAATTCGAGGGGAAAAGTGGGTGGCCACAAAATGGATCAGGGATCAAGAACAGGATGATTAGGCGTTTGTAACTGTGTTTCAAAAAGTTATTACTGTCGAGGAATGTCAAGCAAGTTTTGCAGTAAATATACCCATATTCTTTGTTTTCTAATTTAAGAAGAGATACAAAATCCTTTTTCTGCTCTCCTTATATTGCGGTGAGATGGGCATGGATCTACTGATTGTCAGAGCGCACCCTGTTTACAGCATCTTGTACATCACAGAGCTGGAACCTTTTTACACTACCTGATATTGAACTTCGACAAAAACAAGACGCTGGGATGAGCGAATTTATATCATCATCTATGGACCCTGCGAATCACACTATTATGCCGACTGCATGCTCTCCTACATTCATCACATGATAGCGCCTGTTAGCAATAACTGTTGTGTATTTCTTGCAATCTCAATGGTTCAAGGTTGGAGTTGCTTCTCAGGGGAAAAAATGAAGCTCGGAAATTACTCAGATTCTTGGTACGGTCACTCGGATATCCCCTTGAGAACAAATAAATAGTAGGTCGCTCGGCATTCTTCCCAAACATTATATTGCATGAGTTAGCTTACATCTAAAATATGGCTCACTCATTTCCTCCAGTACAAAACGTAAACAGCGAACTTCCAACAAAATGAAACCTCTCTCCCCTTTGGAACTTTACAGCTTTCTATAAGACGAATAACCAAAAGCAGGATTACAACCGGAACATCATCTCTCTCGCGAAAGTGGTTGGGCACAGAAGATTCATGGCACCTTCTTGCGGATTTCGCTTGATTTTCTAGATCATGCATATCTTGAGAACCATCACCGAATAATAAAACACGGAGCTAATCAAAGCATGCTTCGTTTTGATTCTAATGCACCAGCCCTTTACTCGACCCAGTGGAAGGAATTCAAATTGGAATTCACAAAGCTCAATATCAAGCCCACAATAATCTCCTATTGTGTTCTTTGGACTTTCACTCATTCCTTCATTTTTCAGTCATTCAGCAGGCAATAATCGAGAAGGTCTAATTTCCATCTGTTTAAGAATGACTGATGATGCAGGACTGCTCAAATAAGTGATCTGGCAAGAATGTGCATATACATCACAACTTGTGCCAATTTTGGTAGAGTTGCTTCCCTGGCCGCTTTAACATATACATGCAGCCAGCAGATGAGAATAGACCAAAAGCAGCAAATGCAATAATCGTTGAATTTGCAACAGTGCGATAATAACCTCTCTGCAGGATTACCAAGCAAAAATGGACCTTTCAATCATGAGAACTAAGAATAAAAACAAATAATATTTGGCCTGGGAAAAATAATATTACAGGACCTACTTGCACCAAAAATAACAAGAACACCATGTTACAGGAGCTTGAGATAGAGTTATCATTCCTCCACGAAGTTCATTTGGTACATACCTGTGAAAGCCATAAAAATAAAAGTTAATGTAAATCATTGCTCTGATGCAAGACAGATAGACACTTATAGACTCACTGTCATATATTAATCATAATAGAACACAAACTTACATGCTTCTCAATCTGGCAAGTGATGGCAAAACAACACCAACGCAAGCATGAAACAAGAAGAACAGTACTAGGAGAACACCAACGTCCTGAAAAAGAATAAACAAAAAGCAATGTGCATTTAGCAGCAAGCTTTGTATATGTGTATAACATTTACTTCTTCAGACAGTCAAGTTTTAAAAGGAACATACCTGATAATCATAAGCTACAACAGATAAAAGGAGGCCCATGACAGGAAGCACGTATATTAAACATTCCTCTATCCTAAGTGATATCGTTCCATTATACAACCAGGGAACTGCAGTGCTTCCTAGCATTCTTGCCCCCATCAAACAAGGATATATTAATCCTAATTGTACCTCTCTGCCATCAGCCTTCAATGTGAAAAATTAAAAATTCAACACTAATCAAAAGCTAATTGCAAGAGGGATGAAAAAGAAAGTGAAAGAAAAGATACAAACAGGTTAGATCGTAATAACAATCAACTTTATAAGCCATAAGGTAATCATGTTTTAGGTTAAAAAGCAAAACTCCCACTAAACTATTTTTTTTCCCCAGAAAAAGATCTAAACTGGTCCAAATGCTATAGTTGTCAAACTTAAGTTTTTCAACCATGAAACAAATCACGCAAGTTTTGAAAACACAAACTGCGGCCATTCATGGAAAAATTGTGATTCATCTATAACATCTTTGAACAACAAATCCGATCACTTGATTACTTTAATATGTTAATTAAAGACTTAAATATAAAATGCCGCATCAACCTTAGAATGAAAAGCTTTCTCCAAAATTGATCTCGCCCAATTTTGAGAGGTCAGGAAGAATTGGAGCTTTTTGCTGTAGTGGTAAATGGCAATCTATCAACAACTAGAACTTACAGCATCTAATGATTAAGCTATCATTCTCAAGAAACTTGGAAGAGAAAGTAAAGAACTCATCCACAGCTTCCATATTAGAAGATCGCCACAGTTTCAACAATATGACATATTACTATGCTGCATATAATTCATCTCAAACAGAAGGAAAATTAAATTAACTAAAGTATAATTACCAGATATACTTGGTACTATGTATGTCAGAAAGTTGGGGAAAGACAAGAAGAAATTAGGTTTCTTTGTACAAAATTGCATCAGTAGCTTACCACAATTGTTGGAGCCCAGAGAACCCAGAAAACTGCAATAGAGAGGTGTACACAAACTTGTGACCATGATAGCAACCATACCCTTTTATCTAGCAAGAAAGGAAATTCATCATTGACAAGAAGATATTTGATGAATAACAGACCACCATATGTGCATGGGCGTCACTTCATTGTTCTCAAGTATTCAATCTCAACAAATAATTTGAACTATCTTAAGCAAAACAATTTCAATATATCCATGGCCCTATGTAACTATCAGCACAATTTACCTGAAAAGATATGTGTCTGGAACGAAATCCAATAGTCACTACAACTGGCTGTTCGTGGATTTTCCTTGAATCCCCGAGCAACATGAAGGATACATATAATTGCTAGAACCACAGCTGCATTGTAAGGAGAAAGTATGGATTTATCCCTGTTGCCTCCAATCAACCAATTCCCAAGGAACTGGCTGCAGATGAATGATGCAGATTCAATAAAAGTCATTAACCAAAACATGTCGTTTAACGTATCTTGCCTCTGGCCCAGCTGCAGAGTGTGAGTAAGTGTAATCATTAGTTGAGTAGCAGCAGACACAGAATCTATCAGAAAAAATGCAGTCCTCACTCCTCATGCAATAGGATGGGTAAACTCGACAATGTTCAATAATACAACCTTTAGACTACAGGACACCAAATTAACGAGCAGAGGTGGCATTCATGCGATTAGAAAAGTTGTAAACAAGACTTGGAAGACGAACCTTATCATGCTCGAAGACCATCCATGCCTCAAAACTGAAGGAAAATATAGAAGAGGCAAGAGAAAGACAGAAGCTTGTGAACATAAGCTTGATGTGTGAGGAAGCTTTTGAATATAGAAACAAGGAGATGCAGGGTGTAAAATAGCAAGCAAACGTTCCTTGGACCCCTGCATAAACACAGTCATTGAGAGTAATCACATCAATGTGGAGCAAAATGCCGCAACAGAAATTATAACCGTAATTGGGCCAATAAGCAGTTTGATGACTGATTAATAAACATGATGATTTTCCTCAAAAACCAAAAATAAGCAAACTTGCAGAAGTTTTAAGCATCCCCACCACCCCATATAACAATCTAAGAAAAGAAGAGCACCAAACAAATTCAGGCAGTGCAAGAGAGCAGGCTTACATCAAATCAGAAAGCACGCCTAAGAAAGTACCGATAAAGAGTGAGGCAGCGCATCCCGCGCACACATACAGCAGCATTTGCTCCTTACTAACTCCTCCGTAATAGTGTTCCCATTCGAACTCCCCGAACACCGTCCCCAAGCCCTCCATCACTAGTTTATCATTCAAAAATAAACCAATAATAACAGTCAGTCGGATTAAGCAATGAAACGAGAATTGGAGACTCGGAAGAAAAAAGGTAAAGGTGAGCGATGGATCACCGGAGGAGAGTGAAAATAGGAGAAGGAAACTTCTTTGGAAACGGAAGAAAGCTGATGAGGATTGGGCGTGATCGAAGACTGTAGTGGGTGCCGCTCTGCCAGAGTAATGAGGGCAGAAATAGATGGAAGCGAAGCATGATATTAGCGTGAATAGGTAGAGCGCTTTATTGGGTTCCCAAACATCGCTCTCCTCCACCACTCCCATTTTTGTTATTTTACGGCTGCCGTCTCAAAGACGAGTCTTAGGCCGACGAGACGAGAATACTTCTGCTAGTAGAAGGAATTTGTCGACGGAGTAATTGCTTTAGCAGAGGTCACCGGCGCCGGTGGGATATTAATTAATTAATTTAGTATAAAATTGCAAGCATTCCTCTCAGACAATCCCAGATCTGAATGAAATTCGGATCGGATGCTTTCAAGTGAGTTTGGGACGTTGGGCCAAGGCCCAATTTAATTACTGACTAACTTGGATGAAAACATTTTTGAGGGTCTTTTGGATTTTGTGGTCGTAGTTCCTTAGAAGCACAAACTAACACAGAATCTCACGAGTTCCACAGCTGCAAAACGACATGGTACATTACTTTTCCTACTTCTTTTTTTTGACATGCCAGATTCATTCATTCGCAAGTACTAGAAACTGCAGCCCTCAGCGTGATCAGCTACAGGCATCAGAAAGGCCTCTCACTTTTTATGATTTTGTCCTGGGATTCAAAGCAAAAAACCTTCATCAGGCTCACAAAAATGCACAAAATACAAGGGGCCCAAAAAGAAAAACGGAGTAAAATTAGCTAGCTAGCTCTAGTCCAACTACTTCCTCGAGCAAGCCAGGAAGTCATTATTGTCAGGCAAACAAGAAGTTGCTATTCTCAGTTTCTCAGCATTATGTAGCCTATAAGAAATGTATTGTCACATCAGCTTCAGTTACGCAGCCTGTGTAGAATTATGTCACAGATATTGAACAGAGAAATCAGGCCCCTGATAGATTTGCTTCTATTGAGTGACGGTTACTCTCGATTAAAATTTTGTCCTTTCGCGGCGTCATAGCTTGCAAGCAAGTGGAACAGTTAATCAAGTTCTTTTGACCAGCATTTGCTCAATCAAATCGATGCAGTTTCCGGACTAACTTCCATTTTTAGCACCGAATTAATTCAACAATTTGGAAGCTGTCCCCTTTTGAAAAGCTAGTTTATTTCCATCAAAGGCAACAAGATTGCTAAATTTAACAAACCCGTGATCTATCCTGTCACTGAGATTAAAGCACGTGTAAATGGACATCAGAAAGGCAATCATTTGGAGGGATCTCAGTTACCTCCCATTCAGGTATGCTTGCTGACAGAAGGGCCATATACCGTTCCATTGCCCTTTCTGAGCTCATGTCACCCAGCTTTTGCCAAGCATTCCTACCATACCAAAATGAATCCACCGTAGTTCAGTTCAAAAACGGCTACCGGTCCTATTCCAAAATAAAAACTTTACAAGTTGTCGAACATGAATAACATCAGAAAGGCGTACAAGAAGTCTAAGCCGATTTTAGTAAAGTTAAAGAAGACGGAGTTGGACAAACGAACGTGCTACTAATTTTCACGTGATTCTTCATGCTGCCCTATCAATAGTCAATACGAACACTGATACGTGTAATTCAATTTAAAAACAGCGCAACCAAAACTGTGAAAAAGAAGAGAAAGAAGCTGAACAGGAAGTCGTAAAAGCAATATAAGACTCTCGGATTCCATGATCAGTTGAAGGGAACTAGTTAACATTCAAGCAAAACAGTGCTGGAAAAACAGGGAATCAGAATAGAATGCAAGGCGGGTATGTCTCGTGTCAAATAATGGCAACTCATACTACTTGTTTAAGAGGTTTGGAAGATGGGGTATGTCTCATGTCAAATGGTGGCAACTCATACTGCTGGGCTTCCACTTCAGTGTTAAATTACTGCAACTGTTTGTCAATGCTTCCTACACAATAATGCGTCCAGACAAAGCCACGTTCTAGTTCTGTTAATTTTGAAAACATTAGCATTCTACTAGACATGCAGCATTCCGTCCTAGGTGCCTTCTCCCTAGCCCTTCAGTCATGTTTATCTTTCATCGTCCAAATTCTTCTGAGCGAGTCAACAAAAGATAACCCGACAATATACGAGACAAGAAATTTGTTAATAATTCCTTGAAACAAATAGCTGATGTAAAAGATCATAAGGTAAGGTTAATACCACTTAGCACGAGCTGAAACCTTCAATGCCGTTGGCTGTGGCCCGTGGCAAGGTCCTTCCATGGCAACCCTGTGAAGCCCGTAAAGCTGCATCCTTGTGTTGCCATCAATACGATCAGCATTGCCCTTGGAACCAACAAAAGCCACTGCTGCATCAAAATGCTTCTCCAGCTCACTTCTCTCTATCCCTTCCCAATCATCAAACAGCCCCTCTTCTGATTCTTCCATCCCCACCCGATTATTAGATTCATTGCCCTCACTCCTCTCAGTGCTCTGTGCTGCATCCCTCTCTGTTTCTTGACTATGTTTATCCTCCAAAACCTCACAAATTTCCTCATCCTTGCCCTCCCTCACTTCAAATTCTTCCCTTAAACTCAATGCCACATAAGCGTCTTCAACTAGGCTTTGTAGTTCTTCTTCAGTTCCCTGGGGCATTGGCCTCGATTCAGAACATTCATCAACTTCTTCTTTTCTTTAATATCCTCACCGCCACCGACCCGACACTATCTTTTTCTTCCCTCGCCTCTTGTACTAGTACGTTTTCGACAACTCCACCAAGAGCTTCATCGTTGGTGTTATTATCTTTCTCTTCTTGTTTCAGCTCGTTCCCTTCACCATCAACACTGTGAACTTCTCCCGACATCACTGCTTGAAACCCAGAATTCCCAAGATTTCTTTCTTGTCCAATATCAAAAACCCCAGGATATTTTTTGCCAACATGCTCCAAAAACCCAGCTTTATCAATTAAAACATCGTTTCTTGAATTGCACGTAGCATTGGTGACATCTTCAGCAGAACTCGAACGAAGCTTAGACAGAATAAAATAAACAACCACTGTGAGGGATGCAGAAAAAGCCAAGTCCTGAAAAAACCCAGCCACCATCCTGTGTAAGTGTGACAGAGGGAAAAAAAACCAGAGGAGAATTGTGGCGATCACAAGTCGGAAATTTGATGCAACAAAAATACTGGGAGGGGGGTTAGGATTTGGCAGAGCCAGAAGAAGAGCACTAAAGTATATTCTACTAAAAATTGAAATTGTTGCCGTGGGTGGGTCCACAGTGTTGGCAAGGCTTCACAAAAGCTGCTTGCCTGAAAACGACCCTCTTTCCCTGTTATTATACTATTTAAAGCGGTTTAGAGTACGGAAAACACGAAAGTGCGGTACCAAGAAACACCACTTTCCTATTTTATCCATGTATTGAGTAAATCCATCCATTTACTATGATTTGCCATTAGCAGTCTTGTCTTTTCTTCTTTTGACACCTGTATCTTATCGTGGATTTTGTTTTCCCCTTTTCTCTCTTCTTGATGTTTCTTGGCGAAGTTGGTCGTGTCTTTCCGCCGCTTTCCTTGCTTGGAATTTTGCTTCTTTACCTTTTCATTCATGATTTTTAGATTTTTTTTCTTATCAAGACACAATTCAATCCAAGGGACTTCTCCTCTTACACTCCAAATAGAAACTCAAACCAGTGTAGACAATTGCATGGATCTATATTGTTGTATTTTGCAATAGTATATAGTGCATTTAAGGCTTTTTTTTCCAAGGCAAGTGCATTTAAGAATTGAAACTCAAAATTTTTGTTGTTTCAATCATTAAACCGTCTCGTTAACAATTATCAAAGAAACATGTGATGAAAGCTTTGTATGCCAATTTTGATCATACCTATAGAATTATATACATGTTTAATCCACCCCCTGTGCCCCACACTCCTCAATAGACGACTAGAGTTGTGATTATGAAGAATATATCTTTAGGAAAAATATAATTTTGGTCCCAAAGTTTGGCTCGAAAGTAGGGATGGCAACGGGGGCGGGCACCGGCCCCGCGGGTCATTGGACGGGGGCTGGGGGCGGGGAGTATATTCTCGCCTCACCGCCCCTTCACCCGTTTGAAAATATATATATAATGATATTATCAATTATACTACTAATTATACATGTCTATTAATAAAAATTATTAATTTTTTATACTAAATTTATTAATACATTTATGTTAAATTTCTAACTACACTTAATACAATAATACTTTTTTCTAAAAAATATACAATAATAATTTAGTGATTGTATTTGTATCAAAAGTGAAAACTTGATTATTTTAGTTATATTTGTTTTATCATATTAGATTGTATTCAAATAACCTTTGTTTAATTATTTTTATGAGTTTCAATTGTGAAGTTACAATGAATAATAATTTGATGATATATTAATATTTTAGTACTTGATTATTTGCTCAAATTTAATTATAATAAAATTATATAATAAAATTTTTTTAACCCTACAGGTGCCCTTGCGGGAGAAGCGGGCGGGGAAGCGAGGGCGGGGGACGGGTGGGGGTTGGAGGAGGTGTCCCCGCCCCATTGCCACCCCTACTCGAGAGCTATTTCAATTTCGAAGTTTGCGTGAGGCAAATCTAGTCCTTAATATTTATAATTTGAAGCAAATTTAGGATCATTGAATGATTTTATTCAATTATCATAGAGATGGAGTCACATAAGACCACGTGACCCTTGCTAGAAATTATGACCTTATATTTTCTTTTAAAGGATAAGGGAAAGAAATGAGATCTAGATTAGACTAATTTTGGTATGTCATAATGTACATCTTTGTGTTTTTAGTAACTTCACTTTTTTTAAGTTAAACACGTGTGGTTATGTAAGTAATTAATTTTTAGTATCATCAATTTTTTATTGTTGTTTTAGACAAGGGTCACGTGATTATGATGACCAGTTTAATATGGGGAAGGAAATAACCTTGTGAATTGCCCTAAATATGCTTCAAATCTGAAATATTAGAGACCAAAATTACCTTGGCCTAAACTTTAGCAACTAAGATTGCTGATATGTCAAACTTTGGAGATTAAAATTGTATTTTTTTCTATATATCTTTTGGATGTATTCTCTTACATCTCTGTCTGTTTTTATATATTGGCAGTGTAGCAGTAGTTATGCATGCATGTCATACATATGTATCATTTACATTTCAAATTTAAATTTATATTATGTGATAATAATAAAAATTTTATTGTTAAAAAACACCGACAATGTATAAAAAAATTTACTCTTAAATGAAAGTGATTGTTAGGCCCTCAAGAATTATTTTAGCACTCATAAGCATATGGATGCAATAATTGTTGGGATAATTTTAAAAACCTCCCTTGAAGTTTTTGATAATTTGCTTGACTCCTCGTCAAGTTTAAAAAATTACACTTACCTTCCTTAGCACGATAAAATGCCTATAATGCCTTCCATTTGGTAGACATTTTTAAATTTAAGGCAATAATTGATAAAATCCAAAAATATATTTTTCTATCTCTTTTCTATTTCACTCCTCTCTTTTCTAGTTAATATAACCTATTTTTATTACCTTCAATTTTGTGGATATCAGCAAATTGAAATTACAAAATCAACAGAGAAAGCAAATTATGTGTCAAACTAGAAGGACATGAAGAGACATGCAGTAAAAAAAAATAAATTATTATGAAATTGATGATTGAAATATGAAAAAAAACTAAAGATATGGAATTTGTCATATTTTATTTGTTGTTAAGAATTTTTTTTTATAAAATGTCAATAATTACATAAGAATTTCTTTCATTGGATTTGAAATTTGTTATTATGATTTTATTGTAGAGGTAGAATTTGTTCTTTACTTTTGAGATATTAATATTTTTAAGACCATAAAAGGATTGTAATAGTGGTTATAGGTCAGATTATAAAAAAAAAAAAAGAGCTGCCTTCATCCTTGGTTTCTTTTTTTTTTTCAACAAACGTTCATCCTTGGTTTCTACCTTAGCAAAAAATGCTCCTACTTGTTAACCGAAGATTGCTAAGAAATTGAAGGTGGGCTTTCGAGTGTTTTGCAAAGTCTTTAAATCAATGAAACCATGACTTTAATATCTTGAAGCTCATAGTGTGGTGGAAGTCCAATGGGACTGCCGGGGTGGAACAAGCTTCAAATTACCCCATGGAAGAATTGAAGATTAAAAAAATAAGTGGCTTTGTGAAAAGGTTTAGGCTTTATTAAGTACTTGTGATTTCTTTTACTTCACCGACGATCAACAGATTGAAACCTGGATGACGTTATAACCAGCAATTTTTCAGTCAGTTTTCACTTTACAACTCTCAGCTATCATTGTTGCCTTTTTCCATGACATTATTGGTTTTGTCGGCCCCTAACGAGCAGATGATTCCCTATTTTTTTTTTGACTGGGCAATCTTACCTCAAGTCCGGTCAGCTGATGTTTTATCCACTGCTAGTAGTAGTACTAAACAAGATTTTAAAGAAGCCAGCATAGATTCTCCTCGTTAAAGATTAAGCGTTCTTTTAATATTGCTCAAACTGTGTGTTTCTTACACAGGGCAATACTTTTCTTGCGTGTACCCCAATGCGGCTGAAACTTGTGTAGGATGTTCTTGGAACTATGTGAACGGAAGTTTCTTGCTCTATATCTCATGGCTGTCAGTTGGGCCTAACGGCCTTTTTAGTGCAAGATTGTGGTGGATGATGGTGATAACCCTTTCATTTATAAAGGTATAATTAAGGAAAATGGACTCCAAAATAGGCAATAATTTGAAGCATGACCACTTGTAAGATTATTGTCCGCTCGTGGGCCTGATAATCTTATCATGTCTCTTCCAGTTACAGGTAGGTGCTGCATAATGTTCAAGATGTACAAAATTTTTCTGCCTTTTCCCTTGTCTAACCGACGGAAATGATTGGTAGATAGGAAATTATTGTCTGTTAGAAAAAAATAGAGAATTGTAACATTTGGTTGAAGATCCTGATGGAGAATTGGAAGTTGCCTGTGCAGAACATTAGGTGATTGAGGAGCACTAGTTAATCAATTTACTGGAATAAGGTAAAATTGGATTCGTGGGGGGCTTCCAGAATGCGGTTCTATACTAAAATTACAGGGTCAACTTGGTAAGGCCGGCGCATCTGAACCATAAAGAAAGTCTTTCTTTCCAGTAGTAATCTTGTGGAGCCATGAGGATACATGAATATGATATATACTAAACTACTGATCGCATTCAACAGGATTTTTTTCTTTTCCTTTTTTTGGGATTGATATCATTGGAAAGCAGCTGTTACCATTTGTATTTTGACAACAGCCATTAATACTGCTTAGGATAGGTATAGCGTCAGGAACTTGATAACAACAACTCCTAGCTCTAACTGCATAAATTTGCTAGCTTTTAAAGTCAGTAGGTCCTGGGAGCATAGTGAAATCTATTTCAAGAAAGAAGAATGACTTCTTTCTTTTGCGGATAGCTAGCCTAGTACGGTAACTCCAGGGTCCAGACCTGAAGCGAAGACCAGTTGATGAATTTTACCCCCTGAATCACAGAGGTGGACTGGTTGTTTGATGGACTCTTTGGGGCTCTTAATGCCTGTATCTAAGGCTACTTTTCAACTTGGAGCAAGTCAGGCTGTGTTACCAGGGTAAAGATGAGATTAGGACAACAGATGGACCTACCAGATGCTTCTTGTCATGAAAGTTGAAAAAAGGGGTTTTGCTTCTAAACTAAAAAAAAAAAAAAGGCGGATAATATTAGCATATCAATAACTGGATAACAAGTAATAACTCATCGGACGTATGATTTTTCATGAACGCCAGCATAGGCCATGTGTGAAGTGGCTCAGCTTGTTGGTCCCTTTTTAAAGTGTAAGGTGCCTTGTTTTGTTGGTATCCCCCAGCCCTGATTTGCTTTCCACAGCCAATAGAGAATTGGTAATCTGGGGATTATGAAAAAGGAGATTGGCACTTTTGTGGATGAAAACATTTTGCATATGGAACTTGTAACCATTTTGGCTCCTCTCATCCTTTCGACCCGGCTCCCTAAACTCACAACCACACACACTTTTTAACTAGAAAATCTTTTTCCTTCTATTTGACCCCATTATTCTCCTAAATGTGCCTATAATGCGAACCCATGTATGGCGGACACCTCCAGCCAGAACAGGGGGTCTGTTGTGGAATTTCACTCAGTTGATGATTGCTTGTAAATGCAGATGATAAGTGCGTCGTTATGGACCGAAATTGGAGTTGATACTCTCATGATTTGATTGTTCACTTGTGATTTTGTTTAGTTAATCAAGAGGAATGTGGAAAAAAAAATTAACAAAAGAGACATGCTGCTTAGTTCTAAGATTACCACGAAGTACTGCATGAGAGTTGCTCGTCTAACTTTACCAAATATCACTCGTTTGTGACGTGCATAAACATAAAAGTACTTGGTCGAGGTCTTTTGATTATTCACTATGGGGGATGCTGAGTTCCAAGCTGCTGGACAATCCACAAGTCCCAACATGTCTAGTAAGAAGAAAGAGCTTCTTTCCACTGCTATGAAGAGAACTAGTGAATGGTTTGATCTTCTTTCGACTTTGATTCTTATTCAATTGTTTATTGTGCGCTATTTTCGTGACAATTTGGACAAAAAAGAATACTAAGGTTGGTGCAATGAATTATCAACAGGATCTTTTCGCAGGAGATTCCAAGTGATGTTATTGTTCACGCTGGAGGAACGCCCTTCTCTCTGCACAAGGTAACGTGTATTTTTTCCTGTTGGTTGTGCTCATGATATATTTCTATGACGGCCTGCTTGTTCTTTTTTCTGTGAAGTCTCTGGATGTATTCGGTTGCCATGGTTGGAGACTTGTTAGCTTTTGTGTATTTGATTAAACATGTAATTTAGACATCAGGTGCTGAGAGTAGGAACAACTTAGCATTGATCTTTTTCTACTTTTAAGATTAAAGAACTTGTCTTTACATCCCGTACAGTTCCCACTGGTCTCAAAGTGTGGATACATAAGGAAATTGGTCTCTGAATCCAATGATGCTGATCTTTCTGAAATTGAAGTTCCTGACATTCCTGGTGGAGCAGAGGCGTTTGAACTTGCAGCAAAGTTTTGCTATGGAATAAATTTTGAGATAAGTACAGAAAACATAGCCATGCTTAGATGTGGCGCTGAGTATCTTGGGATGACAGAGGAATGTGCTATTGGAAATCTAGTTGGAAGAACCGAAGCTTACCTAAATGAAGTGGCACTCAAAAGCCTTGCAAGTGCGGTTTCCATTTTGCATTCCACAGAAAGTTTTCTTCCGGTGGCAGAGGAAGTAAAATTGGTTAGCCGGTGCATAGACACAATTGCTTATATAGCCTGCAAAGATAACCAATTTGCTACATTAGGTAGGGCAGACAGTGGCAACCATGGCATAAATTCCTCAATGGTGTTTCAACCTAAAGCAATTGTTGATTGGTGGGCTGAGGATTTAACTGTCCTTAGAATTGATATGTTCCAACGGGTGCTTATTGCGATGATGGCTAGGGGATTTAAACAATATTCCCTTGGTCCGATACTGATGCTATATGTGCAGAAATCACTTCGAGGTTTGGTGAGATCTCAAACCCCCACAAATTTTGATTATTTGGCTTAATTAGAAATGTACGTAATTGACTTCACTTTTCTCCACAGGAAATATTTGGAAAGGGAAGGAAAAAAATTGAGCTGCGACAAGAACACGAGAAGAGGGTTGTTTTAGAAACAATCGTTAGTCTTCTACCGAGAGAGAAGCATTCCTTGTCCGTCAGCTTTCTCTCGATGCTGCTTAGGGCTGCAATTTATCTGGAAACGACGTTTGCTTGCAGGCTTGACTTGGAGAAGAGGATAGCTTTGCAACTAGGACAGGCTGTGCTAGATGATCTCTTAATTCCCTCGTACTCTTTCACTGGAGATACACTATTCGACGTGGAGACAGTCCAGCGGATAATGATGAATTATCTAGATCATGAAATGGAGGGGCACAGATCAGGACTTAATGCAGATGAAGATCTTCTTTCTCCATCTACTGACATGGAAAGAGTAGGGAGGCTAATGGAGAATTACCTTGCTGAAATCGCTTCTGATCGAAACTTGTCTGTTTCGAAGTTTGTTGGTCTTGCTGAACTCTTACCTGAACGTTCAAGAATCACAGAAGATGGCATGTATAGGGCAATTGACATCTATTTAAAGGTATGCGCTCTCGCATTTATATATCCGCTGGTCCCGTGATGGGTTACAAGCTCAAATTGTACGTTGATGTGCTTAAATTTATTTCTCATTCCTTTCATGTCAGTTCTAGCCCTACACTTGCATTCGTGATTCGTCTTATCTTCTGATTCACAAGTGAGTGAATTGGAAATATCGTGTTGCTATTTATGCCAACTCCTGATTCGTTATCTTAATGTTAAATCCTTTCATGATGAATTTCATTCGGCTAGGTGTGTTAGTCAGATTGGCATTCATCTGCCTGAACCTCTGTCTGATAGTAATTTGGTTATACCTCTCCTTAATCTTCAATATCACCGCGTCAGACAAACAATGTAGAGTGGAAGAGATACAAGGAAATAGAGCAGGGAAAGATAATTGAGAGAAAAATGCAGAAAAGGAAAATCCATCATCAATCTGATTATTTTTAATATACTCCTCCATTCCAGCATCGTTCATAAATCCATGAAATTCCCTGACTGCGTTAGTAAACTTGTTAAGACTAATTTACATGACTATTCTCATGTGAACGGAGGGTTGTGGTCGAAATTTCTGTTTTCAATTTTTTCCACCAAAAAGCAAAGGGCCAACAAAGAGCTGTAGAGTAAGTGCACATCTAGGCATGCCTTGCGATATACAAGGCAGCATAAATTACCATGAAAATGTCATGTCGGGCTTATTATTAAATCTTCAGCCATGCAACGGGGCAAATAATGAGGAAAGAGATCTAGTAACACCCAATATCATAGTTTAATCTACTCCCCAAATGCTTACTCGTCCCCACTGCCACATCTCATCGACTGTTTTTTGACCCATTGCAGACGCTAACAAAATCTTGCTGTCTTGAATTTCAAAAACTAAAGAAAACGTTTATCATAATTTAAGCTTTTCTGTCCATTCCACCCAAGAACATGTGTATCATAATATAAGTAAATAACTTGTATCATTAGTCTCTGCTAATCATCATACCAGATGAACATTTTTGGGAGTAATCTCTTTAGATTGTTGAGTTCTGGGGATTTTTCAGGCTCATCCTGCATTAAGTGACATGGAGAGAAAGAAAGTCTGCAGCGTAATGGACTGTCAAAAGCTGTCCAGGGAAGCCTGCGCTCATGCAGCTCAGAATGATCGACTTCCGGTTCAAACTGTCGTTCAAGTGCTTTACTATGAGCAACAACGCCTTCGGGAGGCAGTCGATGGCACGGAAGGTGAAACCCCTAATCTTGCCCTCAAGGTAAATCAGCACCCTGCTGGCAGCCACACAGCTCCACAAGAACTCTCAAGCTTGCGAAAAGAAAATCAGGATCTGAAATTGGAACTAGTGAAAATGAGAACAAGATTGCGAGAACTTGAAAAATCTTCAGATAAATCCTATGCAGCCAGTCCCTTGGTTATCACTCTTCCCTCTGCTGAGAAGCCTCCATTGCCTAGAAAATCACTCATCAGTTCTGTCTCGCGAAAACTGGGCAAGATTAATCCATTTCTTCGTGCTGATGCACTTTTCCCTTCAAATGCAAAAGTTCGGAGCAAACCTAGCAAGGATCGGAGGCATTCCATATCATAACAACGCTGGTTTGTCTCTTCTCCCTTGGGCTCTTTTCGTGTTTGATGTATAATGTGATACTATTACAATTGCATATTTGAAGAGAATTAACGCTTGTGAAGAGCACCACAAAGATTTTGTATATTTTCTGGTTACTTTCATCTCTTCCCCCCTCTTTTTTGGGTGATGTTGATGTAAATCACGTTTGCACTCTATTGTGCTTGAGGTGTGTATTGTAAATGGAGATCAATGTAAATTCCCAAGTCATCCCTGTGCAGTATGCTTCAGTTTTCCAGGATTTTCGACGCTCCAAGAAAACAGATTCAGATTATGCAAATTTATTTGTTCTGCCGAACTTGAATCCAGCCGGCAGATGGTTGCTCTCTAGTCTGGAATGATAGGCACCGGCGACCCAGTGGTGTATCGTGTCAGCGGACATATTAGTTCAATGACTTCAATCTAGGAAAGCGATTCTGGGGACCTAAAAGTTCAGCATCTGGTTATTGGAACCGGTGGGGTATCTGGTTAAATTGAAACCAAAAAATAGAGCACGATACACAGGCTACAAGTGTTCTCATCATGTCCATTGGTCCACGTCCGAGGCAAATTATTGTAGAACTTCAAATAGGAGGATAATTACATCATTGAACTTTCTGGTTCAAAGATTGGATGAGTTCAACTTTAAGAGAGAGAGAGAGAGAGAAGTCGATCATATACATTATTGCTGGGAGCCTTATTTAATTGGAATTAGGAATCTTGATGTTCATTTGGTGGCAGACAAATTGTTGGATATAATTTCCATGTGGTAGTTGGAGAACCAAAGAACATCAAATAGAATACAAGCTAGAAACGAAAGTATTGAATCACCAACGGTGTCTCAAAATTTCTTTTGTCAAAACTCAAAAAGCAAGTTCGTTTAGATCAGATTCCTCATATCTTCTTTGAGTAGTATATTGCGGAAAATCTGTCTCTACTTTTCATTGAAAGTCCCCCAGCAGCCAAATATGTGATCCAATTCAACTCATGCAGATGTCCTCCTCCCGTTCTTTGTCCCAAAATAATACTACCCCAGATTCCTTGTGCCCGTGAAATTGGTGTTATGGGAGGCCTTGGATAGCTGAAGTCGGAATCTAAAGCCAATTGATGTGGACGCCCGAGCGTCCTTTCAGGAAAAAATAGGCCGATCGAGCACAACCTAATCAAGTACAGCAAGCTGTGTGGCCTGTGGGGTGGGAAAGTCAAATGTCGTATGATCAAAATTTACACTATTCCAACTTTTTGATGTTCTAAAGAATACTTACGCGGGGAGAGGATGGGAAATGCAGGGAAAACCCTCCGAATGAGAAGAGAAAAAGAGGGGGTTCAATCGGGCGAAAAGCTGATTCCTTGAAAAATAGACACTGCAGAATACAAATGATGTGGCAGTGTCATATTTGCCAGTGACGCGACCCCCTCAAACACCAAATGTCTTTTCAGGTACCAGCAGAAATTTAGGCACGCCCAGCAACTATTGGACTATTCATGTCATGGATTGGTTTCGCATGTGGGACGGGACGATGGTGTGTTGTGGACTCCTACGATTCCCATACAGATATTTTTGGGGACTTCTTTAGGACGTCCTGTCCGTTAAACCAAACAAGGCTTAATTATACCTCAGTGAGTTACGGCTGGGCTGCCGATGTTAATGAGGCGTGGACTTGACTGGAAAAGGAACAGGATGCCGTGCATTAGCATGCTACATACAGACCTGAAGTACTATTCCAGATGAGGAAGGACAATTAAATCTACAAGCAGGATTTAAAACTGAGTTGAAATTTTATCAAACTATCACCATAATCAGCCGATAAGAATCAGTCTAAAATCTTTTCATACCGACTCTAGATGATTTTTCAACTCGTGTTAAGACTCAAAGCTTGCAAAAGCCAAGGAGGATTACTATGTCTGTCTTGTCTCAATTGCTCCTCAATGTCAGAACTTTTCTTCCTTGAACCTAATAAACTAGGATTGGAACCGGGCAGCTCTAATCCCCATTTCCTTCCAATAAATTCTTCTCGAATTGCATTTGTCCTCTGATGATTAGTTAGACCTGAATTCGTCCTCTTTATATTGCTGGATCCTGTGGAGGAAGAAGAAAAACTCGCTGCAGAATCTGAAGGGATTGACATCTCCAAAGATTTTCTCGTTCTACAGTTACTCGACGGGCCAATGCCTAATGTGAGCTCCAGCTCACTTTCATCATCAATTCCTGCCGTCCCATTCCGTTCGATTCCCTGAACGCAATCTCCAACGGGAAGTTCCAAATCAAGGCCCAGTCGCGGCCTTTCCTCTACATCTGCATGATGATCATTTGTCTGATTTGATATACTAACAATCTTGAGATTCCGTGTATCTGAATCTTGGCCGTGTTTCTGGCTGCTTGCAATCTTCTTCATCAGCAGCTTTTGAATTTGATATAGACGGTGTAGTTCATAAACCTGCACAACCAAAACCATGAATCTCGGGAACTGAAACCTTTTAAAGCCAAGGAAACTCAAAATCAACGGAAACTAGTCAGTATATATGGTCAACCGACCTGTTCTCTAAATGTTTCCTCATGCTTCAACATGGCCGTCTTCATATATTCCTTATCGTACGGATTAAGAAGCTTCTCCATTCAAGATGATCAGATGACCTTGTATACTCCTTTTTAGGCTATCTTTGACTGGTGGAGAAACCCTACAAGGTCACTTGTGCTGAAACTGGAACTGGATCTCGTGTCTAGCTAAAACGCATTCCTCTCACAATTTGACCTGTGAAAAAAAGTGCAGAAAACGGCATAAGATTCATAAAAAGTTTCCGTATAGAATCAGTAGAGAGAGAGAGCATATTTCATACGAATTTGAAACACAATCTTGGTGACTGAATAAATCTAGATCTTCTCAGTGTAAACTGATTGCTTTTTCCTTCTTTGCAACAGTCAGTTAGCACTGCCAGACTGCCACAGGGACTGGGACTGGGACATCTTAATGATGGTATATACATATATCAAGACTCGTAACATTGTACAGTCATCACTCGCATTGAGAAAGTGCCTTGACGCATTTTGTACCGAGAAATTTATCTGAAAAAGAAGCTGCATTTTTTTTGGTTAGATTAAAATTCCAATTTTATTGGTGTGATTTAATTTCACTGATCATGTACCATAGCTGATGCAATGTGTACTTAAAAAGTGTACTGAAACAAAAGATTTCCACTTCTACCTCACATTTTTCATGCCAATAAGATTTCTTGTTCTCTTGCACAATTTCCTAGTTACATGCTAGAATTGCCAGAACTTTTGTAGCTTCAGGTTTATTTACCTTTTTGTCACGTCCTAGTGAATACGGACGCTAACATTCGAGAAAGATGAAGAATTCTTTTCCTTCTTGCTAATCATCAAGTCAACCAGAAACCACATACAGTAACCAGTACCATTTGCACTCGGGAAAGCTTGGAAGTGACCTTCTTACCTTAGAAATTAATATGTCTCGTAGAGTCATGAGCCGAAGAGACGAAGATCAAAATTTGGTGATTGTAAAGCAAGGAAGATCTTGCAAGGAACTTGAAGAAAAGACGGGAGTTGCGTTGCTGTTGCTGTTGCTGTTGCTGACAACACGGCTTCAGGCTTCAAACTTCGTTTGATGTAGCAACACCTTCCATCGAGCATTCTATAAGTATATACATACTGTAGAAGATAGAATAAAAAAATGATTGAGGAAGAATTTAAGATTCTCTCTTACACACAGAAATCAAAGCGTTGTTTGTTGCACTTGGGGCTTGAGGCATGCCAAACAAATCCCAGTGCCTCAGCCAATGTGATTCGAGTTTTGTGAAAGAGATGCCCCCAGACAAGTCCAGCAGTGCGCCCATATTTAATACCCATTTAAATACTAATAATACGATCCCATGTGTGCAGTTGTTGCTGATCGCAAGGGCTTAGTTTAGACCGGTACCTTGGGACAACCTTCAAAATCACAGCTTAGCCTGCAAAGGTAAATCACATGCTGAGCTCACAATTCTATATGCTGTGGTTGTAACAGTTGTTTCATTACCTGGCCCGCCGACACGTACGTCTTGACCGTACGTTCGTTAACCGGGTACTTCTTGGAAAAGCCCAAAATTTCCAACTTACGAGAGTGAAGGAATCTGTAAAACTAATTAAAACTGCATGAGCTTAAAACTTGATCAGTTATTGTGCTGTAATGAAGGAGATAAGTAGAAATGAGGTCTTTAATTAAGTTGTTTAATGTAAGTTTTATTGTTTTCCGGATATAAAATCTATTCTTACTCTCTATATTAGGAGGAAAAGGAGAATCTGAAGAGATCCAATAAGAATCCGAAGGAAACTAGACAACCGTCGGCTCAAACGGACACGCAAACAAACGGTTGAAGAAAGAAATCTTCGGAAAAACTTGAATTTTACTAGTGGCCAACTACTGCTCTAGCAACAGTTGGTTGGTTGGTTGGTTGTTTAACGTAAGTGCGATGTGGAATATTATTGGAGGTGCCGGAGACAGAGCCAGCCAACTCGTTTGGAAGATTCATTTCTGGTGTGATGGGCCATTAAAGACGCCATGTGGATGCACTCTTTAAAATCGGCTTTCTTATGGCTTAATTAATCGACCTTAACGGCTCATACATATTTAACTTATGACGGCAATGTGCGTGCTTTGGAAGTCCATGGGATCATAGACCTTTGCTCGTTGGTTTGTCTCGGTCATGTTCCTGTTCTTTTGCTGTTGTACACTACAGCTGAGATAGGATTGGAAATAGATAATTCAAGATATATAGTAAAAGACGGATAAACTTGATCTACATGCATGCATGCATGCACACAGCTATACAAACCGTCGAAAATAATTAATCTGTTATATTAATGTGTAGAACGCATATTCAGTGCTTTTCTTCAGCGTGGCAAAAAAAAAAAGAAGGCTCAAGGGGACGCATTAATTAATTGTCTCCGATGAAATGAAACTTTTGTGACAGTAACAGACTCAGCACTATTGCTGATTGAACATTATGAAAATTGCGCTGATGAGGGCGCTACCTAATCCATGATATTTCAATGTGGTATGTGAATTAAAATTGCGGGTCTGAAAATCTGGGGCCGCACAATTGCAAACTGAAGTGATGGGATTGAAAGAATATTTGAAAACCTAGGCTAGGCTGGGCTAGGAAAGAGAGGAGGAAGGGGACATTTTAGCACGCGTTGCCGGTGCCAGGAGGTGCAGCAATATGGCTTTGTGGGTCCTTTTGGGTTTGCTAAAAGGCTGAGCCACGCCCTCGCACTGTTGCTTTGGTCCCATCTTTTATCTGTATCTCAGAAGAAAAAATAATTCTCTTTTTTTTTTTTTTTTGAAAAAACAAAAAAGAAGAAGATCGAGGGTATGGAGTGATACGACGAAACCTAGCTAGGTGAACCAGTTTTCTACTTTATTATTATTCTTATCAGAGCTATTGGCCAGAAAAATGAAAGAAAGGTCGTACTAATCAGAAAATTCAATATTCGTGGTGCTCACTCATGAGACCCGAGGACCAACCCCTTTTAGCGGAGTTGGCCATCACTTTTAATGTGGGGTGATCTCATAAAAAAGTGTCACTTAATGTGATTTTGCTTAAGATTCATACGAGTGATTCGATGGTGATTTAATTTCCGTGGATTTTCCGTGACCCTGTTGGATCACCCTCCTAAATTAGGATTAGGAGCAGGTGTAGATGTAGATGATGACACGTGACAAAAAAAAAAAAAAAAAAAAAACTTATGAAGCCCAAGCCAAGATGGTATCATTTGTAGGATATATACAAATCAGAAAATTCAATGTTCATGGTGCTCACTTATGTATCGGGACCAAGAATAGTAGTATTATTTGTAGGATATATATATTCTATAAAAATAGATGATGTGATTTGAGAAACGTACTCGATCGATCTGTCTCAGCAGCCCAAAACAATAATATTGAAGAACAAAGGCTGAAAACTGATGATATCTATGTTTTGTTTTATTTTGCTAATGACAGCCACTAGTTGTACTCTTAATTACGTAAAATATAGTAGTAGTAATTCTTATCTTTTTTGTGACAGGATGACAGTACGTACTGTAATTAACATCATCATCTGTGAACCTATCAAAGTAGTAGTAGCATCTTTTTGTTTGTTTTAAATATAATATATAATACATAAGGTCTAGTTGCGTTATGATGGTAAGTACTATTTTGTTCGTATCGGGACCAAGAATATATTTATTATTATTATTGTTGTTGTTCAAGCTGATCCAATTGTGAGCTGAATACCCAATTGTTTAATTTTCTTTTCCTTTTTCTTTCTTTTTCTGAAGGAAGTACTGCCAAATATAGCATGATATCTACCTCTCCATCTCTCACGAACGAGCGAGCATGATGAGTATTGAGCGGCACCAATAATTGACAATTTCCCTTGGCTGGATGTGCGGTGCGGTGCGGTGCGGTGCGGTGCGTCCTTCTTATCTACTTTGTTATCCATCCAGTGGTAATAGTAAAACAAACAAAAATATTATTGAAAGTGGCAGCAGAGAGAAGGGTGGGGATAGCAAAATTTCAAATTGATTAATTAGATGAGTCACTACCCAACCCGCATTAATCAGTAGTAGTATATATGATTAAATAAATATGTCGTTTGGATCAGCAGATAACTTAAGCACACACACCACTAATTGTACTACTCCTATTCATTATTGTTATTGCAAATTATGGTAGCATAAATTTGTGCGTGAAAAGTCAAAAGTCACAGCTTAGTTGCCTTCGTGTTCCATTGCAACAAAACAAGCCGTATGTGTTTCCGTGAGCAATTATTCTTTCTTCTTACACGCACCATCATGATCACGAGTGGCATTACTAGGAAACAAATGACAGGGACTAACCACTTACTGAACTTAATTATGGTTAATTAAATCCTTGGATAATGACGTTAATGATTTCATAAGGTGGAATGGAATCTCGAATCTGCTTCTGTACCAGTTTTTTTTTTAACGCTATTAATGGATATAGTACAAGTAATTGTTTTGTCTTAACAAGAAAAGGGCAAACAAATGCATGCTTCTGTAGGTGTAGGTGTAGGTGTAGGTGGTACTTGGCATGACTCAGGGGTTGTGTTTCCGATAACAAGCTGCGTCTGATTTTGATGCTACGATCGAGTCAATTGTCAATTATGCAGGTGCACGCAGCATGTCGTTGTTATTCTCTCCAGGCTTCCTTTTTTTTTTTTCCTTCCCCTTCCTTCCTTCCTTCCTTCCTTCCTTCTTCTCTCGACTCGTCCGAGTTCACTGCCGGGACATCTTTAGTTGCAAGACGGTCGCTTCAGACAGGTACAAACGCCAGTGGCACATCTATAAAAGCATCATGTCTTTTGCAGTGAAAAAAATTATTCCTACACTACAAAAGCAACAAAAAAAAAATTTTTTAAGAAAAAGGAAACCAGCAGAAAAATTGGCCTGGAAAAATCGACAAGCGACAAAATCAAGATTTGAGTCTTTGACAGGCGAGGGAAGATAACTTCTAGAGAAGGAAATGGAATGGACACCATATATTCTTCCGAAACTGTTGAGAGGATCTTCGCGTAAAGCATAGCTGTGAACCTAGAATAAAAAACCTTCATACACATTCGGTTTTCATCTGCCAAAATTGGAACATGGCTTGCTTGTTTTTGAAGTCTAATTGCAAATATATAGGTTATTTCCTTGCAACACGGATTTGATTTTTTCTCATTGACGGCCATGTTAGATGTCGAAGTTGCCGGCTAATGACTCTCAATTATTAACGGGATAAGCTGTCATATTTGGTTTAGGTAGCGGCTTGCTAGTAATTTATCCAACTCAAGAAAAGAAAGAAGAAAAACCAGCTGCTTAATTAACAAATAAGCAAGCAGCAGTCCTTAAATTCTTAATTGCCGTATCAGACAATTAACACGCCACAGCTGGTCAAGTGTTGGAGAATAGAAGAGCTTTTGGAATTGCTGGACGTCAAACGAGTTGCCTGGACAATGGATTCCTGTGAAACCATGGAGATTGGGGTCGGTGGTAATTATAGGTGGGGTTTGGGACTGCTTCAGGGCAAAGCAAGTCGGGCTTTTTATGCGCAGTCTTAGCATCATTTGAGGGGCGTCGTTAAATAATTCGCGTGATGCTGCTGCCACTGCCACTGCACCTGCCACTTTTCACTACAGTACGTACAATTTAGTAATAGTGTGTCTCGAAGGAATTGGTTCCCAATCTGAAACTGAATGAGAAAAATCTAGCGGAGCTGGGTTCCACGTACCAACAAACATCCTTATCGATAATGGACCTGAATCCAGATTCCCATTTGGGTATTGCATCGTGAATGAAAGTTGAAACCACCGCAATTACACGCAAGCTCCTCTGCCCCTCGTCCGCCTCAGCATTATTCCATCCCTACAGAAATAAAAACAAAGCCTATATTCGAAATCAATTATTGTGCGACAGGAGGGAGGCACTGTACACCTCCATCCCCCCCGAAACCTCCCAAAAACCTATTCAAGTAAAGTTCTATAGGGTCATTGAACAACTTATAAGATTATTCATGAATCGATCTGTATAAAACATACCCGATTAGCTATTCTCCAATCGAAGTTGTCATTTTTTTTTTATAGTGATTTAGCCCCCATCGATTCTCTCAATTCACTTGGTTCAATCCCCAAAAGACTAGAATAGGAGTATGTTAGATTATATTAAACGTGCCGTTATAAAAAAAAAAAAATTGCTATTAAAATGGGGGTGGAAAAAAATCGATAATTAAAAGTTTGAAATCTCATTGTCAATTAATAGCTTTGATTTCGTTTTCGTTGTAGGACAAGGCTGTTAGCATATGATGATACGTAGTGGTCATTACAGTCCATCGCCGGGCGCCTAATGACATCACGTCTATCTGGCAGAAATGTGACTCCTAATTGAAGATTAAGATTTTAATTGCTAGAGCATGTGCATATAATGAATTTCCCTCCTTCGAAATAAATATGCTGCATTTTCAATCTCACTCGGCCCATGGGATCCCGAGGAATTGATGTTCCAAATTTTTAATGTGTATTTCCAATTTCAACCTTATCCCATCAACGATACATTTTAAACTTGCCGCCCAGGCATGCTGCTGTTTCAGGAAGCGACTTTGTTGTGCCTAATAAAGGCCTTTTTTTTCAATTACAGGATTGGATTTTAGCTTCCACCTTATGTTTATTTATTGTGCATGCTTGTTTTACCTCAGATGGCTAAAAATAAAACCCAGCGGGCATCTCGTTGGGAAAACCCAGGCATGTAGAGGGTTCGGTTAGACACGTATTAGAACTTCCACTCCCGATCCCGACCAGAAACAGCAACAGCTTGGATCCCTACAGTATTGGGCAACAACAAATTCATCCCATGCGCCCGCCCGAGTGTCGAATGATTGGATCCACAAAGGAAGCCCAGAGATAGAAACCCAATCTATAAAGCTGGGTCAGAAGCGCTCGTGTACGCCAATTCACATGCATTTTATTCGTCTGGGTATGAGTGCAGGATGCAATCAAGCCACGGAAATGGAATCGACAGCTAGTAGCAATATATATATATATATATATATATTTTTTAACTCCATTTATAAACCTCAATTCAATAAAGCACTCGATAAAAAAAAGACGGAAATAAGGTCGGGAGTGCTGTGAAGGTAGACAGAGGAGATCTAATGCAGAACGCAAGTATGTGTCAAAAAATTTGTTGTGTTTTATATTTCAATGTATTAATACCTGTATTTATTATATTAGTGTTTATGTGTTTCTTTTCCATATTGGCATCTATACTTTCTTTCGACTTCATCTAGTAATGTACGTGCTTGCCACTTTATTCCTTTTTTTCTTCTTCTTGGGTTAGTAGCATTCCAAGTTTTTAAACTTACGTAGGCTGTGGTCATGTAAGAAAACTACTCTATTCAATCCAATATTATAAATTAAGCGTACATACTGCAGGAAAACTACTCTTAACCAAAAAAAACCAATCCAATATTGTAAGTGTGAAGATCATATCCGAGATTGGATTTTCCAAACATTTATTGGTTCCATTGCCTGCAAGTAAGCAGATCTGTCCTCCTTAACAAACATCAAAAAGCATACAGATCTAGCGATTTTTTTTTTCTTGATTTCGCGGTTGTAAAATTGACAATGAACACGGAACTAACAAACAGAGAGTAATTTGTAATTTATCCAGGTTGCGTACAAGTATTGACAATATGATTCTCTAGTCAATCCGATTTACTCAGATCTACAATTATGGCTTAATTGTAGTACCTCGATCAAGGAATGTCTATTCGAATAAACACCGTCAAGATCGGTGTTAGGTGAAGTTGCCTTCCTTTAATTGATTCACTAAACAAGCTTAGAAAGCATGTTTTAATTGTTTCAGAGAGATTCACGTTCATGTGGGCTTTAATTACTAAAATATTTTCTCCGTCCGTTATGACCAACATCATATTACTACTATATTATTTTGCATCTGAGTGCCAGCTAATTCAATTCAGGGGAAAGAAAGATAAACCAAACCAACACAAGTTGGCTGTACGAGTCAAACCCGAGGTTCGCTTTTGCGTAGCTTTGCTTTTATTTATGACCAATTTTTCTATGAATCGAATCTTAAGAGAGGGGTTTTTTTTTGCGTATAAAACAAATTGTTTGCCAATCACAGCCCAGATCGTGCTTTGGTTCAAAATCCAGGTATTTGCTCCAGGCTGTACCAAGGCAAATGGTCAAATGGAAATGTGTTCCGCAACACGATTTTGACATACCCTCCTTGGGTGATCATCCATTTGCCAGGTTTTTCTTCTCCCCCTCTCTCTTTCCTGGCGGTCTTGTTGTTCATTTTCTCAAAAGGGGCGCAAAAGTAAGCCTGTAGATACCTCCGCGAGGCTCCGTTTGACTAGCCCTGTATCCAATGCTCACTTTGCAGTATAACTATTACGTATATCTCTAGCTTTTACTGGTGTTCAGGGGTCACTGAACAAATCTAAAACATGAGTCGTTGAACAATTACTCCGTTACTCGATGTCAAGTACCAAATTGAAGGAACATAACTTCTTGTTTGAATTTGTTTTAACATTGAATTTGGCATCTCTGTGCCAACAGCAAGAAATGGCGACAGGATGTTGAATCTCACAAGCTTTATACCCCATCTTCATTTATTTCAGAAAAAATGCTTTGATTGCTTCTGTTTCTTGGACCAGGCTGCGGGCATTGGAAGTGGAAATAAATGCCTAACTTGAAAAGTCCGATGAGACTAGGCGACTGGGGCTGGGAGAGTAGTTATTGAGGGGCAAAATGCAAAAGAAGAAAAAGGCAAAGGCGGCCATAGACGTAACCTTTGGCCAACATCAAAATGTCATTTTCAAAATCACCAATTTCTCTCTGATAGTTTAATGAACTTTCTTCCTCATAATAAGAAAGACTCTAAACCAACCAACTTTTTACTTATATATATTCCTCTCATTTGAACATTCTACAAACCAACCATACCCGGACCGACCCTAGCTAATTATAAACCCCTCTCGCTCTCTCTCTCTCTCTCTCGTTCTGCAGGCGGTCATCATCTTCCTTTTTTTTTTTTTAAGCCTGCTTTGGATTTGGAAGAGATGATGGATCGTCATCGGCTCAGTAATGTTGTTATAACTGTCTTTTCACTTTCTCTCGTTGCTTGTTTGTCCCCTGACTTAGTGTCAGCGCAGCTCAAGCGCAACTATTACGCCAATATCTGCCCCAATGTTGAAAGCATTGTCAGGAATGCCGTCACCCAAAAATTCCAGCAGACCTTCGTTACAGTCCCCGGCACCCTCCGTCTCTTCTTCCACGATTGTTTTGTCAATGTAAGTATTAATTAACTCATTCCATTTTGCAAAAGACACGGAGCTCTTCTCTCTTAATTTTGCGTGTGTGTGTGTGTTTATATATATATATATATATATTTTTTTCTTGAATACACATTGGAATGACTGGTTCTGTCTTGGGTTAATTGGAAACAAAAAGGGTTGCGATGCTTCTGTCATAATAGCATCGACCCCAAACAACAAGGCAGAAAAAGATCACCCTGATAACCTGTCACTGGCCGGAGATGGATTCGATACAGTTATCAAAGCCAAAGCAGCCGTTGATGCAGTGGCGAGTTGCAGGAACAAGGTGTCGTGCGCTGACATTCTTGCCATGGCCGCCCGAGACGTTATTGCGCTGGTAAGTTCATCTTCCCTCGTCCTCATGCATGCCTAGCTACTTGACCTTAAAATCCAATAATATTTTTCTTTCTAATCTCATCCGTGTAGGCCGGCGGACCTTCATATGCCGTTGAATTGGGAAGACTGGATGGCCTGAGCTCAACTGCCTCAAGCGTCAATGGAAAACTGCCCCAGCCAAGCTTCAATTTGAACCAGCTCAATGCAATATTCGCAGCCCATGGGCTAAGCCAGACGGACATGATTGCTCTCTCAGGTAACTAACAACACCCGCCACGTGGCATTACAATATTGCACTTTCACAAATTGTTCGTTAAACATGCATGCATTCATGAACCAGAGCAGGGGTTACTGATTAGTAGCAGTAGTAAATAGTAATTATATTAATCTGATGAAGCATTCGTTATTCGTCACATGATAAATTCTGCGCAGGTGCCCACACGGTGGGTTTCTCACACTGTAACCGGTTTGCAAACCGGATATACAATTTCAGCCCTCAGAATCCAATCGACCCGACTCTCAACAGAGCATACGCAAGCCAACTGCAGGCGATGTGCCCCAGGGTCGTGGACCCCACGATAGCCATCAACATGGACCCCACCACCCCAAGGACTTTTGACAACGTCTACTTCCAGAACCTGGTGACGGGAAAGGGGCTCTTCACCTCCGACCAGGTCCTCTTCACCGATTCCAGGTCTAAACCCACCGTCAATGCCTGGGCATCCAATCCCCAAGCTTTCCAAAACGCTTTTGTTGCTGCCATGACCAAACTCGGCCGGGTCGGAGTTAAGACCGGAAGGAATGGGAACATTCGCCGAGACTGCGGTGCATTCAATTGATTGAAAAACAAATATATAATTAATGGGATGGCACATGCTTTGCTTAATTGTGAGATAGTGGTTCAATTCAATCCAGTAATTAATTAGTACTCCAGTCGACTGGTTCACAATAATATTGTCCAGGCTCTGGTTGTGATCTTTGTGTGATCCAATAAGAGATGCTGATCACATTCTCTGGCCTATCAGGAAACAGAGAAAAATTGCGTGGCAAGAAAGGAAATTGCTGTAAAGTTGTTTCTTTATTTGTACCAATCATAAATGTTTGTTTGTTTGTAATAGACTTTGATCATTCCAAAGCAAAGACGCTTTGGCAATTATTGGCTATCCAATACAAGTAAAAGAAAATCAAGTCCCCACCTCCATGAGTTACACTCTGATGCCTGCATCTAGAAAGACTTTTGATGGGTTGTTGTTGATCCATGCCATGCGGCAATATATAAAACGTAGTCCATTAATAAGTAGTTCTCTATGAGCCTCAACAAATCCAGAAGCAATTTGTCCTTGAAATAGCTCTCGAGCCACAGCATTTGTTTTGAGAGTGAAGCATGCGTTACAATTTCTTCTTCTTCTTCTTCCTCTTTTTTTTTTGTTTCGAGTTATTCCCGCATGGAATGTCTGGTGAAATTGGCATCAACTAGTTCTTTGCTGCTTTTCCATATATATATAATTGTCTCAACTAGTTCTTTGTTGCTTTTCCATATATATATATATATATATATATATATATACATACACACACACATTGAGAAATTTGGATGAAATCTAACCAGAAGAGTTTCAAAGTTCCCTATTAGTGGTAAAAAAAGAAAAAAAAAAGTCGGATTCCTCATTAATTTCTTGATTTAATTAATGGTGCAGCGCAATGTTTCAGGTCAATGGATGATTAGGTCGGTAGAACTTGCATGTTAGCTTTTTAAGATCTCTTTAAATGCAAATTGTTTAGGTTGCATGTCACGTCTTACTAAAAAGCTGGCAAACCCGTCCAGTGTCAGCTTCAAATTTTAATTGCATACGTTCTTCTACTGTATTTGTTTTACGATTAAGAATCGTGTGGATGCCATGGGCGTGCTTCCTCTTAGCTGTCTTGACTTTTCCGAGAGCTAAGATGCGTGCAGAGTTTGGTTGTTTACTTTTTTTTGTTTGTAATGTAAAGAATCTGCATATATATATGTATATATATATATATTGCATGATGGTCAAGTAAATAGAGTAGTACTACTAGAGCTTGTGATAATTCAGCAAATGTCAATTAATTGAATAGAAGGGCAATCACACTGGATTGAAGGAGAAAACTCTTGGCTAGCTTCTACACTTCTTTGCCGAAGATATGCTCATGAATGTTTATGGGAAAAAAAAAAATCATTGAAGATAAGACTAGAAAGGATACTGTGGCTCACAACTTGAGAAAAAGCTGACAAAAAAGGTCAATCTAAGATTTATACTATGATTAAAAGTGGGGCTAATGCAATTATGCCAGCCTTTGGGACAAAATGCCACCATCATCCATGCATATCCATTGCATTTATAACAAACGACTCAACTCTGTTAGAACGTCTTCTTCACGTGTTTTGATCATTTGTGAATAATTTCCAGCATGGACCAGCAGTTCAGTTGTAATCTTATGCGCACAAAGCTTCTGGAGGGTCCAGCCTCCAGCTAAGGATTGATATATGATACCCGGATTGGTCAATGAGGCTGAAATCGTACGTTTGGCTGACGACAATTCCAAACCCATCAGAATCTTATCGTCTCTGGGCTCTAGTTCAAGGAATTTGCTAACAAGAGTGCAGTGCCGATTGGGGGTAGGTAGACTGCTGCTGTCAAGAAATCATAGCAATCTTTGGTTCACCTTGTTAAGCTTTGGGCAACTCCCGTGTAGAATTCAACCACTGACCCCCATCTCTTTTTATGAGTTTCTAAACAAGGGAATTGTATTCACCCTCCTTGTTTCCCCGCAGCCGTGAAAGGGGAGAACAACTGCTCCAGCAGACCAGCCTAACCCAAAGGAAAAGTACACGCCGTAGGAACATAAAATGTTCGTGAATTTTTAACTCAAGTATGCATACATCAGATGACAAGAAAATATCTTTTTACAGTTAATGTTTACAAGGCAGAACAGATGTATGGAATGGCCGCTGCATCATATTCAGAATGATTACCCTGTAGCCATTGCAGACAGTAAAAATGGAAAAGTTAAAATCTTTGGCACGACACCGTATATCTGCGTTCGGATAAAAAGATTCTGCAAACCAAATAGGACATTAATAGAAAGATTGCTTCCCACAGCTATCACTATTTCATCCTACGCTAGGATTGGCAGAACCTGTATTCTCATGTTAGGTTAGAGGAGGAGGAAAACAAAGAACTAGGCACACAGGGAGTATACACTTGTAAAACGAAAGATGTAAAAGATATTATTATCCTTCAAAATTGATTGCAACCAGTTACAGAAACATCAATGAGATTTTGATTATCTTACCGTCTTAAGAAATCACAACAAGTAATATGACAAAGTAACAGAGGTAATGGAGCTAATTGAAAAGCCAAATTTGCTCATATACATAATACGTATTAATTATCTTGTTTCTATCCTTCAGTTGGACATTATACATTTAACAAGTGAACCTTAACTTTTGCTGGAAAACTTAGTCTATAACAAGTCCGACCCACATATCAAGCGGAGGAGATGGTAATTAACAGTTAGGTAGAATTTCAGAAAAACTCCAAGAAATGCCAATCATATCGCATAAAGGAAACCATTTATTATGCCTTACTAATACCTGGTCAAATCATTTTTTAGAGATAATATAACCAAACAATACGGAAAGAGATTGATCACACCCTTGAAGATATGTCCATTCACATGCATAGTTATTGCATTATCCTTGAAGCTATGGTCATGAAAATGTCAAAGCTGTTATGGCATGCCCATTCCACCGTCTTAAAGATATCCCTAAAAAACATGTTGAAACCTTAATTATTGGATAACTTCTGTTCTTAACAACACAAATTATCCACTAAATGCAAAGATTCTGTGCTTAAAAAAACTATCCCAACTGAATGCAAAGATTCTTCATATTCCAAACCCTGCGTACATGTCTGCTTCAACAATTTTGTAAGGCATGCAAAACTGATGCATGCATTTAATATGACATGCAAAAAAATGATCACTCCAACTATCTGTGCTATACATGCATAATAACCATAGGCAGCATTATAGTACCCATGCAAAGTTTTGCACATGTATCTATTTAATATTTTGGGATTCAGTAGTTCAGAGAGGGAGTTCACCTGGATAACTCAATCCACATAATACTAATCAAGGAAACGAAAATGTATATCTACATGTTTATGAACCTTCTACGTTCTTTCCAGATTAGCATGGAAAGCATCTCCTTGACTGTGAGTAGGAGATGCCTATTAGATTAGTACGCCAGCGGTAAAAGTTCATTTTATGTACCTTTACGTCACATTCTGATAACTTGCAAGGTATTCTTTATCTGGAAAGAGCACCTAAAGAAACATAGGAAACTGAGAGAAACATTTTTATCATTTCCATTACTGTTT